AGATATCTCCTTGGATTTACTTCGGTTTTCTTAATCATAAACTTACTAGCAATGCAGTACTTTGTAAAAATCAATACAGTAAACTTATAATTCAGGAAGAAAAAAGTTAGAATCAAATTACATTAAAAACTCGATAATATTGCTTATTTTTCAATTTAATGTTAAATTTGGCATGTGTTATTTATTAGTATATAATTAATATTTTTGTACACAAATTTGATCTTGATCCTTAGGATGAGTTTACGTCTGATCTGCAAAAAATGGCAAACGCCTGACGAAAAACGAGCAATCACAAGTCGCACAGCGGATTCACTCCGTGTAAACCCTGAGATAAGCGAGTATGCAATACATTCGGTGGAGCTAAAAGCGGCGCAGTTTTTGCTTTTGCTTGCAAACGATTGGTCGTGAGTCGAGCACGTGTCTACGATCTGTATCGTGCCTCACCTGACTCCAGAGCCTTGCACTACGTGACCCGCATCTGCACCACATGGAAGTAAATATCACATAGAGGATTTATCTTTATTGTATCCGGAAAGAGTATTGGGCTCTTTGTCTTTACGCCCATAACTTTTTGATGGTTTTTTGATGAGCGTTGTGTTTTGTGTTTGAATTCTAAAGGTGGTTTACTGTTTTTGGTGTTTCATGCATGTTATAATATTTGTTATGATGATAATTTGAGTGATATGTAAATAATGTCTTTATGTTCCTTTCATTTTGTTTTGTTAAGTAATCTTTGTTTGATTACGTACCTAATATGAGTTTTAGGACTTACACAAAAATAAAGCACAGTTAGAGTTACAGATAAGGCAGCCACGACATAGATAATGTTATATTATTTCTTAAAACTGTTATTATATGTTATAGCAATTTAGTTTGCAATGTGATCAAAAATATACCTTGAAATGAAGCTAGAATGATCTTCATAAACAATTTATTTGCTATTAGAAAGTCAAAATCTTGGTCTTAAAACTATACAACAAAGTATATCGATCCTTTAATGGATCAAGGATCAGTGACACTAAAGAAGCTAAAAGGTCTCCCTAACAAAACCCCTGATTGTAAATATCAACCAAATTAAATCAATATACCATCGAAGGCTTATTCCAAACACCAAAACCTCTTACCTAAGCCGACCTAATCCTATACTTATCAACTAACTACGGTTAATGAATATTTTAGTAGCACCAAGTTAATGAAGGACGTCTCCTTTGTCCCGGCCACGGCTTGATTACATTCAGACTGACGCAGGAAAATACTCGGATATAAAACCAACGGAATGAACAAATCGGGAAGTAATAAATGTTCGCTTGATGAAGTTAATTAAGGACTCGACTGGGCATCATTGCCAATTAAATAAATGATGGGATTTTCGATGGAGTAATTAACGAAAAGTTATTTTGTTTTCATGTTATTTTCTGCAGAGAATGTATTGCAAATTGTGATTTTGTCCTCTTATTTGGATTTTGGATGACTGCAGAATTGATAATGCATTTCGTACGAGAATGCTGAGAAATGGTTTGAATTTCGTACGAACCACAGGACACTTACAGAAGGTGTTTTATTATTACTTTATTTTTACTACACATATTAATATGTTGGTCATAGTAGCTAGTGCCGTTTTTTACTACTCTCAGGCACTAAAGCCTAAGATTAGGAAAGAAAAAATAAACTTACTCTTAAACCAAACTATATGGTACTTAAGACAAACATCATCTTTTAAACACAAACGTCACTTAAACATGACCTTGAAACTCTTTGGCGGCTTTGTAAAACATTCCTAATCCATCAAGATAAAATCGACACTGCATACATTTTGATTTCTTATCTAGTCTATCTTCATCCGTGTCGTTACCGCCAAACAGTTAGGCAACATACGTGACTGGCATGTGCTAGGAGTCCCAATTGACACGTTCAGAGCGCCACGTGTGCAGAATCGACGCTAGCTAATCTCAGTGTACACTATTCCTAATATTTTATTTGTTTTGGGATTTGTTGTGTTTCCGTCTGGTAAGCAGGTGGAAGTGAATTAGGAGAGTTTAGTCAGCGTTTGTTATTTTTGAAGCTAAGGCAAAATATTCTGAGCAAAAATCGGGTTGTTTGTGCTTAAGAACTATTAAGAAAAGAAATAGCTTTAGTTTTTAAGGTATTTTAAAGAAATAAGCCGTCCCTGATCGTGAAATGAGGTTTTAAATGACAAAATAAATATTGCAGGTTTCAGTTACACTCACATCAACTTGATCTAACTGTTAGAACCTAAGTAAATAGCAAAAGCACAGAAAGTCGCTTATAGACTATGATATATTATATATAAGATAGATAGAAAACTAAACAACACAATCATAGCAGAACAAAAATCTTTGTATTATATTTATTAAAAATCACACTAGAATCCCAAGCTTAGAACCAATTTTTTATCTTTCGGTTCCAAGTATTACGGGCAAACGATGGTAACAGCTGTTGCAAGTGACCTACTTGCGAGCCATAGATACGGATACCCGGAATATTCGATGACCAACATTTTTGTTAAGTCATGCCATTTGTTAAAGTGATTTATTGTTGGTTTAACCCGGCGAGGATGTGGTGAAAATAGTAACGTGGAGGTTGTGGAGGGTCTTATTGACCCTGTATATAATTGGCTTTAAAATACCTAAATTTATATTAATGTACCAAATATCAATCAATATTATTTATATTACATGTTATTTTAACGGTTTTATCGAAATAAAACGCAGATAAGAGTACAAAATAATATAATTAACTCACTTTTAACAAAGTACTACAAAATAATCAACTTTTACACAAACTTTCTAAACTTACACTAAAAACAACAAAAAGTAACTCCCTTCTTAGACGATTAACTTTTAATTTGGTACATACGTAGAGGTCAATTAGTTGCACTTACAGTCTTATCATCAAATTATGAATTACTAATCATTATTGTCTATGATTGCAACACAACCCCGGCAGAATGAAATAGTGTGTTCTGGACAAATATACTTATGGCAATCTTCACAAACATTGGCTGTCTTGCGATGGCGGGCATAAGGACATACTTGGCACCATTTTCCTACACCTGGAACCCTAACAAAACCATCTTGTTCAGGTTCTCCGATGAATTCTCTGAGTCTCTTGCGTAGCTGTCTCCACAATTGAGGTGTTTCTTTGCGGCCTTGCAAGTGTTCAGTAACCTGGCCATCCGATTCTTCTCCTTCTGACATTTGTGGGTTCTGATGTTGCAATTCAGATAGTGGTACGTTATCCTCGCCACCACTGATTGCATTTTGCTCAGTATCACTATTTTGACTACGCGTACGCAAATGATCTTCCTTTTCGCTACCGTCGGATAACTAGTCATCTTCACTGTCAGACTGCATTAAAACAAGACGTATGCGTTAATCCTCAAGCTCCGGGCTATTAATTGTGTACGAAAAAACCTAAAATTAAGTAAAAAATATAATTGAAACCATACATAAAAATGTTACATCGCGGTTGTCGCAGGGTCATATTTACCCTATTTGACTGCACGCACATGTTGCTCCCGTCGCAGGCGGCGGCCAACTGAACAGGGGTGCGGGGCGCGCGCGCCGGTCCCTTAGCAATAGCTATTGTGACTTTCAAAACTCTTCGATCGCAGAATAAAAAACTACACACGATTAAAAATTGACAGGGTCAAAATGACCCCTCCACATCCTCGAAGGGTTAAATAATATGACGTGTGTTTTGTAATGAAAATGTTTTAGTTGTATTCTTAAACTTTGGACAATCCTAAGAACAAATTCAAGATCTTGTAACTGAATGCACGTTGCTGCGTGTAGCGGGTTCTATTCTCGCACGGAGCAAATCTTTGTGTGATCTACAAATTGTTCTTTTGCGTCTTGTGTAATGTGTATGTGTGTTTGTAAGCGCACCCACGACACATGAAAAAATTCTAGAGAGGGCCAACGTTCTTAAAAAAAAGTTCCAATTTCTGCTAATATTTAACTTTAGTCAGAAAACGAACGGAGACTTTTTGTTTCCACGCAAAACGGATCAACACAAGTACTTTGAAATCTCTAATCCTTTTCTGTCTGCCGTTTTAATTCTCACTATTTCTCTTACCAGAAAATGAGCTGAAGTTTTTTTGTTTTTACGTAAAATAGTGTAAAATATTAACTGTAACAGGTACTGGATTCTAGTACTTATGTCCCATTTTGAGAAAAATATCAACAGAAAAATAATCAAAGAATAAAAGTAGATTGAATAATTTAATAATGCTACATAATAAATTGAATCGACAAATAGTTACATTTCAATCTGGCTACGGCGAATATTTTTTGCTAATAAAGTTACGTAGACTCGTATCGTAGCGTAGTAGCCTTTGCTACGAACCGTAGTAGAATATTCAGTTAGAAAATGTTCGTAGTTCATGCTATTACTTTATGAGAATACTTTCGCAAAATGTTTTAACATAAAATACTTTATAAATTGCTAAGAGAGAGTGGTTTTTATGATCTGTAATAACATAAAAAAGGTTTTGTTATATTTTTACATATATATAGAAAACTTTTTTATCTTTATGGTACATAATTTAGTACACTTTGTACAGTGATAAGTATTGATTCGTAAGTCTGATTTAAAACTCATATAAAGTCCATACACATGTAAATAAGGTTTAATATTCTTAGATTTTAATTATACTTTTTAAACTCTTCAACATATTGAATTTCCAAAATCATTTTGCAGTTGAACATTCCGAATTAACCGAGTCCAATGGCAACATTATTCGGTAATGGTATCCGTAAACTTAAATAAAATGACAACAGAACCTTTTATGGCAGCAGATGCATTAACCATAAATGACTGAATCAGCAAAACTTTTTTAATATACTAATTATTGCAGATGCACTGCGAAAATCATTATCATCAAGCTTTCCTTGTGCTTTCGGCTGTATGCAAAAGCCGCGTTACTGAGTCGGCGCGAAATGACAATCTAGAGTGGGGGGCAGTAACCCTCATATCGTCAGACGAGGAGGTTGTGTCGCACCGCGTCGCAAATACATCGCGATCTCCGCAAACTATAAACAATTTGCCGACCATGTTATGATTGCGAAACTATTATTTATAAAATGAGTTTTATATGAATTGGAATGGGAATGAGTGTGTTTTTTCGAGTGTTATTGTAAACTATGTCGTGTAAAGTGCGAAGTGACGTTAATCAGTAGATAGTAGTGTCAAGCATGACCGCGGGTCCAATTAAAAGACATAATATCGGATGGAACAAGTTCAAATGTATAGTGTTTTTGCATCTAGTCTTCTGTTTTCCTTGTGTGATAAAAGGTGAGTCAATTAATGACGCTGATAACAGTTCATTACCTATAAATACGTAGTTTTGCGAGAAAGTTTTTAATTAAAATTAATTAATACAGTTTACGTATAAAAAAATTGTCATAGTGTCGAATTCTTGGTAACGTTTTTTTAGCACCCGTTTTTTTATTCAATACTATCGCTTCATAAAAACACCGCAATAAATTATTTATATCTTTTGACACTTAATTAAAGCTAATGTTTGTTATGTTATAAAAACATTTTAACACAGGTTTATAGATTTAGATTAGTAGATTTATATCTTAATTGTAAGAACGTTGACTAATTATTTTTAATTATTTAACGGTTGGCAAAAGTTTATTGACGTTATAATATTCATTTTCGGGTCATAAATTATATAATGACATGGATACCAAATTGTAAGAGACGCAAAAAATCAATCATACTGATTTTTTTTAATGAATTTGTAATCTGTGATTTATATTTTAATTTACGAAACGTACCTATTAATATGTTTCTTATGTTCTTATTTCTTTCTAAGCTCAAAGTCGTGCTCCACGTATAAAGGAGCACCCAGCTGACACAATAGTAGGTAGGAGTGAGCCAGCCACTCTTCGCTGCGTGTCTGAAGGGAAGCCCAAACCCTCAATCCAGTGGTACAAAGATGGGTCCCCTCTTGCTCCTACTGACCACCCCCATAGAGTACTCCTTGAAGATGGACTACTGTTCCTCAGGTAAGGTTCTTGAAAATACAATTTTTTATTTATTTTCCTATAAGGTACTCTTTTTGTTTTTATGTGGCGTATTTTAGAAAACATTCCGGGTTATTTTACGTGTGCCGACGGCGGACGGTTTTAATTTTCTGTTCTTGATTATCGGAAAACTGGAAAGGTTTATTGTTGTTTAATAATTTTCTTCTACTCAATTTACGTATTAGTTTTGGGTTCTTATTTGAATATAACACGTTTGTTATATCAAAACAAATAACAATAGTGTATCGTAGTGTTAATTTTCTGAAACTTTATTTTTATTAATTTTTAAAAATGCTCACTGATGTAGTTCTATTTCTGGTTTATAATTGTATGTTATAAAAAATAGCACCTGGTTAAAATACCACCTGGTTGTGACAACTATAATGTTGCATACGGACATATTGGACAAGTATTGCGACTGCGATAAATATTGAGATCACAATTATGGTGTGTTTACCATAATTAGTCGTAGTAGTTGTCATATTTTTTGTAAAGATAATCATCGCATTTTTCATTATGAAGAAAATTACGAATATCGTGCACAAGAACAGAGATGTATGAGTACACGCTGTATTGTTATTTTATACACATTGTCATTGATAATCGCCGCGAAGCATTGCCCTGTACTCTTAGTTTTTTCAAAAAAATCTTACCTATTTTTATTGCAAGAATAAAATAGATCCGAATGTTATTCTATCTTTCTTAATTACAAACACGTGGAAGACACGACATGTCTACATCTAAGACGACAAATTATTAAAATGAATAATGTAAGAATTACATATTCATAATGAGAATTATCTAACATCTGGTGATATTGCTCTTAGTGGCTAAAATATTTCATTAGTACTTTGTTGGAAACTAGGCATTTCAAAGATTCGAACAACGCGGCACCAACGACGTCACATGCATAATATTTAATTAAGTTTAGGAAAGACTTAAATGAAGGATGACTGCCTCGTTGGCCGAGTGGTTGCAAGTGCGACTGCCGGGCAATGGATCTCGGGTTCGATTCTCGGGTCGGGCAAAGTATTACTGGGTTTTTTAAAAAAATCTCAGTAGTAGCACGGAGTCTGGAATTGTGCCCGGTATATGGCAATAGGCTCACCCTCTATTACATGGGACTCATAACATAAATAGTGAAAAGTGGATGTTACATTGTACAATGGCATACCTAATGTGCACCTCTGCCTACCCCTTCGGGGATAAAAGGCGTGATGTTATGTGTAAATGAAGGATCATTTGAGTACATGTTCTATAATACTCTAATAATGCTCAAAATACAGAATTGTTAAAAAATAATACTGCTATTCCTTCTAATAAAATATCCGGAGTGACTATTCAATACATTACCTACGGTATGAAACAGAATAATAAAATAACGTCATAATAATAATGGATATAGAAAATACTTCAGACATAACGGCGCTGAACTTTCATTATACAACAAAGGGACAAAGGTTATTATTATCGAAGGAAGAATAACCATATACTAACTATAAGTACTCCTATATATAATATAATATAGGCAATATAATATTATACGAAGGTACGAAGTGGAATTAATATAACATACTTAGTATAATGGCGGTCGTACAAAAGCCGCCGGCTGTCGGCTCACAGAAACTTTTCATGGATATTGTAGTATTCATACGTAAAGTTTATTAAATATGGTTATTGGTAGGAAATATTGTTTCGTATACGAGTACCTTACCATAAATCAAGAAATTGTAATTATGCGTGTGGGTCAGGATGTTTTTGTGTTTAATACCAAAGTTAGAATTGTACTGGCAGTGTTGGGTTCGTCAAATTCGGTTCTGAATTTATGCCCAATTAATGGCAAACCCAATTTACCCCGGCGTGACCTGATCGAAGTGAAATCTTATGCTTATGTATATTGCAATTACTTACACTTGATCAATTTGACAATGACCTCCCATATAATATCAACCTCAAATTAGTACAGCTGTATATTGTACCCATAAAAATTAAAAAATCTGTCATATACACTACGTAGTGTCATATACATTCGCGTTCCGCGCGCGCCTCAAAGAGCCATCAGACCACCACAGATGAGGCCCAATAGGGCCGATGCCGGTTCAGAGTCGCGGAGAACCTAACGGGTAACCGGGGCTCCGACTCGACGTGGAGGAGAAGGAACGGGGTGGTTTTTAGTCAGTAAGAGTCTGACACTCCCTCCCGCCTCACCCAGGCGGGAGCGGTCATTCGATGATTATCCCCCCTTAAAAAAAAGTGTCATATACATATATGTGTGTGTACATAGTGTCAATATACACCACTACTATATATTGACACTACGTACAAGTCCACTATTCTTGAGTCAGAGTCCTTGACAACAAACACATTTTGTTTCTCTTTGTGGTTCGCGTGTTCTTTCATAAAAACAGCCAGACTATCTTTGGTTGGAGTTTTTATTGTTGTGTTAATTAGGGACAGAAAAACTAAAGTACATGGTGTTTTATTATGCCTTGTCTTGACACCACATAAAAAGTGTACAACCAAACAAAGCTTGCGCATGAACTGAACCTGTTTAAAGGAGTTTTGTTTCGTTCTTGTTAATGTTATGGATATTTTTAAAACGATTAATTAGTACAGGTAACTTGTTATTTTGCTATGAGATATTTATAAGTTCATTTATCTTGTGACTATCAGCAGGACTGCTAATTATTACAGTCCATTTGACTTAGATATGTGTGAAAAAAATACAATTTTAATAACTTGAAATTGTCAAAAACACAGTTATAGAGATAACACTCACTTCCATTCATCATGTTCCAAAATCTGTTAACAAACCTACCCTTCATATGCTGTGAATACAAATTAGCCTGAGGCACTAAATGAGTCAAAATCGATACGATCTAGACGCCGTAGGGAAATATCCACATAGGCACGTACGTTCCCAGACAGCCAAACTACTGAGGCAATATCAGACACGAAAATGTCAAAGACTTGTTGACATTTTTCTGTGTCTGTATATTTTTGTACCATACAAACATCCGTGGGGCACTCTACTATAATTTTCCGACCAAAAATCCTTTGATTCAAGTTAAACCTATAATTTGAAGGCACTTGTACTTTATCAAAACACTACTCGTACACTATGACCGATATTGAGTTGATCGTTAAATTGTAGGGTTATGCGAGGAAAGAAAGAAAACGACGAGGGAGTGTACTGGTGCGTCGCACGCAACTCAGTCGGCGAGGCGGTCAGTAAGAACGCCACACTCACAATCGCTGGTAAGTACTGATTCATTGCGTGTAAGTACGTTTAAATTGCCTTTAAGTACTGCACTTGCATGTGGGGCTCGTATTATCCTTGAAAACGTAGCAGGGCTTTTGTATATGTACGTCAATTGTTACGGTGATTACGTAACTCATTGGTGTTTAAATTAATAATAGGCATGTTTCGCGCATAGAGTAAGCGGTCTTTTCTATTTATAAAACAATATCTAATTCTGTGAGACTCATTATTGTTCTTATGCCGATAATAATAACTAAAGAGTCGACTGTTAAGACAAGCAGAGACTTATCATCTATACTGCTACCTGTGTTTTAAGAAATTTCTATATATAAAATATAAAGACGTTGATCCAAATAACTTTTACCTAAATATACATGCATAAGTTAGAGTATCAAAACTTCGAAAAAAAGTCTTCAATTAACACATATTACGCATATCGCTCTAAAAACGAAATCAAGAAATCGTTCATTCTAATTTATTTGATACTTTCTGCAGAATATTTACACTTTCAATCAATATTACTCAAGTTAAAATCTAAAAATAAACCGAAATCCTACCCTTTTCGCTCAATGAATTCGATCTCGACAAATATATTTACCTGATTCCAGTGTTTGCAAATGTAACTAGAGACGGTTATGCCGCTGTGCGGTAAACCACTAAAAGGTCGGGTGAAATCTTTATTTGCTCGCAATCTTCGCGAGGTTTTATGGAGTAATTGTATACTTTAGAATGCCTACCACATTACTGACAATTGATGAGTCATATAGATTATTCTGTTTTCCATTAATAGAGACCTAGATATCAGTTTACAGAACCATAAACATGATGTTTGCATTTATCATGTCCTTTATAAATATTATTTAAATTATTGGTCAGAGCTTGTCTTCGTTTTATTCAATGAAAAGTTTTATTTTAGTTCTACGTGACGACTTCAGAGTTGAACCACGAGATGTGAAAGTAGCCAGTGGTGAACCAGCCACGCTAGAATGCTCCGCTCCTAAAGGCGTTCCCGACCCGGGCGTGCACTGGACGAAGGACGGACAAACTTTAGATGTAGAAGTTAACGGGAGGTAATTAATTCTGCTCTTCGAACTTTGTCCACTATTTCTGTACCACATTGTTCACTTTGCATAAATATTGCCTTGTTGAATACAGCCAATATTTTAATGTTGAAAGTAACCAAACAATGTTATTTATTGGACATGTGGGTATTTATTTGTTTAACGATCTGCCTGAGGCATCTGTTTCGTTTTGAATTTAAGTTACAATGATTCACGATTCTTATTAAAGCTGGTTAATTTCGATTTCATTAGGTTTGTTAAACCAATTATTTCCTACGTTACTTTTCAAATCTTATAATGAACTTTTGTTTCAGAATTATGATAGTAAATGGCGGTGATCTCAAAATATTAGAAAGTCTTCCAGGAGACAGTGGTGTGTATAGATGTGTAGCTTCAAATGTTGCTGGAGAAAGACAATCCCGTCCTGCAACATTACTCGTGTTACGTAGACCACATTTTCTTGTGAAACCTAATAACATAACGGCATTGATAGGCCAGAACGTTGAGTTTCATTGTCAGGTAATAAAATGGAAAATTATGCTGCTGTTCATTGAGCTTTTAAACTGCAATATTGTTGTTAGCATCAAGATCACTAGTTTGCTTTGGACAATTTTCACTGTTAATATTCTTCTTCAAGTTTTTTTTTTAATAACTGCTGTAATTTTAGGCATCACCAGAATCAGACGTGTCAGTAACGTGGTCGCGAGACAATGGCTCATTATCGCCATACGCAATCATTCGTCGAGGGTCTCTGAGAATAGATCGTGTTGTTGCTACTGATGCCGGAATTTATACATGTAGAGCTGAAAGCCAAGCAGGGAGTAGTGCCGCATCGGCTACATTGACTGTTCATTGTAAGAGCACTACTTATTAATTGAGACCTGTTTTGTTGAAATGAAAGTTTAAACTTGAATGATTACGTTTGGTTAAATTTTTGTTGTAGCATTACCTCATTTCACCCGAGTGCCTTCTGATCAAACTGCGTGGGAAGGAGAGGCTATATCATTTCAGTGTGAAGCTGATGGTACACCGCCTCCTGTAGTATTCTGGACTATGGAAGGATCTCAGGTAACACTTAAAGAAATTTTCTTTTCAATAGAATTCCTTTATCCAAGCAAAAATATTGTAGTATCATGTGTTTTACAGGAGTTAGTGTTCCCGAAATCAGCCCACGGTACTGGGTCCTTGTATTTAGATATAGTAACTACCCAACATGCTGGCAGATTAACGTGTGTCGCTGTTAGTGCAGCTGGAAGTGCGATGCATACTGCAACATTGCAAGTGAGATTTATACCTTTTTCTTTAACTCCAACCTTAGCTTCATTCGGTCCAAAATTGTTCATGACATGTTCTGTGGTATCTTTTTAGGTATTACGAAGAGAAGCTAATTCATTTAATGGAGACTTAGAATCTTCTTCTCCATATCCCGAGTTGACGAAGCATCAGAGTCATCCACCAATGACACAGTATGAATTAGTTCAAGCTCGTCGGTATTTACAACAAGATGTTTTAGTTTTGAGGAGAGTAGAAGGTCTATCTGCTACTACAGTCAAAATCGTTTGGGATGTTAGTATTATCGCAAAAAATATTTTGTGATATGAATATACTAGTATGTATATGTGTGACATTAAATATTTTGTTTTATTTCATTGTAGGTGTTGACAGATTACAACGAATATTTAGAAGGAGTAAAAATATGGTTCAACGGTACCTCAATGAATAGACAATACGTATTAGAAGAAGACTACCAGCATTCCAATTTATCATACAAAGAGAGTCTAGCTGATTTTAGAAGATATGAAAACTTTTCAATGACCACTGTCCACAACAGTGGTTCATCTAGTCATATTTTAACTGGTCTATTGCCATATGCTCAATACGATGTCTTTTTAATGCCATTTTATAAACTGTTGTTGGGTAAACCGTCTAATTTGAAAAGTGGTTTTACTGAAGAAGATGGTAAGTGATCTTCTGACTTTCAAATGTTGACTGTTGCGTGTAATTAAGGCATCAAGGTATAGGTATAGCGTGTTATGAATGTGTTGTAGTTCCGACGGAGCCACCGCAAAGCGTCACGGCGGGAGTGATAAATGCGACGTCAGCGTGGATTCGGTGGGATCCACCGCCCCCGCACACATGGAACGGCGAACTTTCCGGTTATTTGGTCAGTTGAATATAACTTTCTATTGTCCATTTGCTCTTCTATTTTGCTGTTTTTTTTATTATTTAAGTTATAACTTTTTCTGGTGAATCTAAATTCTCTACAGACGATATAACTATTACAAAACAATTTGAAAAGGGCTAAACATTGTTGATCTCATTGTCATTAAATTATTGACTTTATCTGATTATCGTTTGGTTTTAGATTGAAGTTCGAGTAGGCGGTAGTACTGGTGGTCGTGTAGTTGGTCAGATGTCATTAGGTGCTCGCACGCGAGCTGCTGCAGCAAGTTCACTGCGCGCTGGTGGTCGGTACAGTGCGCGTGCGGCGGCAGTTACACGCCGTGGACACGGTCCATTTAGCGCGCCTGCTCAAATACACATGCTGCCTACTCAAACACAGAGACATTATGTACAGTAAGTAGTCTTATGATATCAAGTTTTATAAAGAATGTCTGTAATTTTAAAGCATTCGGCACCTGTGTTAAGTCAATTTCATTTTTTAAATAGGAACATGTACGGTACAAGTGGGTTATCTCTGTATTGCTTTGTTATAAGATATTACAAGGAATATCTTTTACCGACAAAGCTGTTCGCAGCCGAGCAAGCTCAACTTAGCGGTATGAAAATAAACATTTTGTTTCAGAACTGAACCATCGACGGACAAGGCGATAGTGTCAATGTTCCAGGAAACTTGGCTGCTGGCATTATGTCTAACTTTGTTAGTGTTAGTACTAGTCGGCACTGGAGTCATTGTTTATATACGGATAAAGCAGACTAAGCAAAGGAAAAGCCAGAACACAACTGGTAAGATGAGTAATACAAATCTATTCTTGATGAAGTGAGAAATCAATGAGTTAATCTAGGTGGTACTTAAAATAAATGTGTTTCAGGAACTGCTATAGTTAATGCTCAACAATGTCTACTAGGCAAGGAAGCTGTTTGGTTAAGAGAAAGGCCAATGTTTGAAGGATCAAACGAACCTAGGATAGAAATTTTGAATTGCCACCAAAGTCTTTTACATGGTAAGAATACAAATTAGTTTAAGCTCAATGTGTGTTATATGAATATGAATTGCGGTAATTTGCCTTTGGTTCTTGTAGGTGGTCACTCAATAGGCACAATGGCTATGGAAGCTGAGTACAGTCTTCCACAGCATACAAATGTTATGAATCCTATACCAGAAGAAAGTCAAATGCGAAGACACCAGCCAGAACCTTATGCATCCAGTGCCATTTATACTGAGTTAAATTATCAGGTACCAATAAATTTCTTCAACCATGGATTCTCATAACTATAGGTGTTAAGACTCAGTGTTATAATAATCATTATTTCAATTTCTAGGATCATACAGATGCAGAAGACTCGTGTATGAAATGCGCTGTGAGTCCAGGTTCGTATGACAACAGCATGGTCAGATCTTATGGAGAAAGCAATCAGTACTCTAATGAAGAATGCTCTACATGCTGTCGAAGTAGCAGTTCCACTCTCACAAAGGACTACAGTGAAATGACAAAATGTGGGAATGACGATGAAATGCAAGACATGTCTATAGAAGACTGTCCATCGTGTAAAACAAACCATTCTAGATCCTCGAGTCATCACGATGGAAACAAAGATTGGGCCATGGCTGAGGTAGAATATGATTACCCGCAGTGGCATTGGTTGGGAAGAGAAAATACTTTTAGACAACCTAATCCAGAAGTGAGGTATGCTACTGAAGGGAGGAGTGACCAGGATTGCAGGATGAACTTATGTGATATTCTTCCACCACCGCCTTATGAACGGTAAGAACTTAACAAACACGATCTTTATATTTTTGCTATGACTGTAATATTAATGCCTTCAACTGTTTCCAGGGAATCGCCATATCGAGAAATGCACGCATTTACAAATCACTCAGGGACATCAGGTTGTTCAGGTCATACTTATAGAAGTTAATCGAATTGTAAATTAATATCACTAGGATGTAATACAAGCAATATTACTTTATAGTGTGAATTGTACAAATGTATAAAGGTCTTTGCATTATTATGATCATTAAGATAAAGTGGGATACCTGTTACACTGTCGCGTAATATAAAAGGTGTAAATAATTAATGTTCCACGTAAAATAATGGTTTCTGAGAGTGAATGACCAGAAAACGCGTCGTGTTTATGAAGCATTCGTTTTTATGAAACCAATATATTTAATAGCGCATAATTTTTTAACTAATATTCTAGAAATCAACTTCTTCCTTTTCAAAAGTCCGGGAACGCGCCTGTGACTTCTCTGGTGTTGCGGGTGTCCTTGCGCGGCACGGATCGCTTATCATCAGGTAATCCGTCTGCTCATTTGCCTACTATTCCATAAAAAAGGTTACAAGTTTACCAGTTTACCAGTTTGAGTACTTCATAAATGACTTCAGAAACCAGATTTTAAATAAATATTACATAAAACATTATGATTGACAATTCAGATTTATTTTACACGTAATCAACCTGTCCTATGTGATGTGGGCGTGTACTCCGTGTAGTTACGCGACGGTGTAATAGAAGGCTTTCGAAGATTGTAGTTCTTGTGGATGTGTTTACAAATAGACTGCTATATAACGTAAAGTAGGCATTAGGATTTCATCTTTCTCTAGTGACTGTGATATAGTATAATTTCGTATTCAAATTTACGTTTTATGTAAATATTTTAAAATATTTGATATCCTTATACAATTTTATCATTGACGTATTTATTGAGTGTAGCAAGTTAGGACTAAACAATTTTTTAAACTGTATATTTTAAACAATCACAGTTGTATATCATTTTGTACTGAGACAGGATTCCTATACTGTTTTGGGACATAATCGTACTTTGTAAAACCAGCTTAATTAAAACTGGAAGAATTTTTATCTGTTTGTTTTACTTGTACTTTCCCAGACAATTTATTGGTCGATGCGTCATTAAATTGCTCTTATTGACATCTTGATGTTAACGAGGGTTTCTCGTTCTTTGAGACGATTATTTGCTTGAATTAATATCATTTTTCAGATTTCATTACAATCAATCGTAATGATTAATTAAATTATAATTTAGTTACTTGATTTATACAAGTAAACTTGCATTTTTGTCACACATTATCATTTCAAAATTAATAAAAAAAATTGAAATATCATCACGCCTTTTATCCTCGAAAGGGTAGGCTGAGCACTTATTACTATACATTACGGCACTTAATGCCACCGTATAATGTAACACCCACTTTTCACTATTTATGTTATGAGTCTCATGTAATAGGAGGTGAGCCTATTGCCATATACCGGGCACCACTCCAGACTTCGTACTACTGAGATTTTTTTTAAAAACCTAGTAACAGTTGCCCGACCCGGGAATCGAACTCGAGACCCCTTGTCCGGAAGTCGCACTTTCAACCACTTTACCGACGAGGCAGTCATCATATAAAAATTAACAATTAAAAATTAACCTTTGACCCTACAATCCAGATCGGCAATATAGCTTTTTAAATAATATAAAGGTCTATTCGAAGTAAACACCCAACTGCCGTATACTGTACTGAGTTTTATCGTTTCCTTACGACTTTGCGCCGAATTCTCAAAGCACAAGGATGTAAACGCACAATTAAAAATGCTTTACAATGCAATAAAGTCGAGAATTGCTTGTAAATCGTCGCAAATGAATTGTAGCATTCCACCTCCAAAGATTTAACACTTCAATAAAAGTTTAATTAATTGGTACCTGTAAATTTGCTACCGTTAAACGTGGTTTGTTTATGGGACGTTATGTCTTCAGAATGGCAGTAGAATAATACATAGATACCTGTTATATTCTTAAAATAATAAGAAATCACATTGCAACAGTTTTTTGGTGGGTTAACTCATGTGGGTAATTTGTAAGCACAAAAAAAAAGAAAATTCAAGGACTATCTTAAACATAAGGCCTTAAAAATGATGTCCAGTTCAACACAATTGTCTTTAATCCTACATTTGAATTTCAAATCTAATTTGTTGCCACTAAAACTTAAATTAACATGGTACCATAAGCTTTTGGCTATAAGGCTATTAGAAACATTTTACTATGAGTTTACCCCGTACTAATTAACTGGGGGACATAATTATTATAACCCCAACTTTAACAATAAGGTTTCGATTGCAGTGACTATGCAAGTTTGACCCCAATATGAACGAAGCAGTTTCATAAAATCCAATAATTTAATTAGAAACGAAATATCAATATGGTTATTAAAATTAGGATCGATACCTTGTACTTAGAGTTTACTTTTGTTTGAATAAAAAGTAATAAAAGGTAAATTTTATAAATATGTATGTGTAGTACATAAAGATAAAATATAATTAAATTTAATTACGTTAACTCACTTTAAAGCACATAAAAAAAGACAAATTGGCAAAACTAAACCTAACCTATGTAGGTATGTATTCAATACCTTCATTATTCAACCCTGATATTCAACTTATTCAAGCCACCGATACCAAGTTACAAAACAATAACAAAATTCAATACAAAATAGAATCATTAGCATCTACTTAGCAATCTTATTACCCTTCCCGTCCCATCCTTTGAGATATCATTACAAGCATATGAAAAGTGGCTGCACAATTACACAAGTAATCAGCTTTACTCGTAAATAACTAAGCACGTATTTGTGCGTGGCGGCATCGCAGGCTGTGTCCAAACGGAGGGCGTTGCCATGACAACAGGTTTCATACTCACCCTAGAGTGCACCCTTGTTATTAATACCCGTAATAATTAAACTTGATTGCATTTCACACCAGGTGTTGGATGACTCGCAAACTAATAACTGTTTGAACAGGCTGAAGGTATAATTTTGTTTGAAAGATTAAGACATATGTTTGGGAAGAACAATAAAATTAATGATGGCGTTGAAACTCTATGTTATTTTTTTTTTTGAGGCTCAATTTTAGCTCGAGTTCTGGAAAATAAAATCGGTATCCTTATTATCGGAAAGACCGAGGCAAAAGTGAAGCCATTTCCATAATTGAATTGTCAAATTCAATCAGCATAAGAATTCGCATTCACTTCCCGGTCACAATCAAAAATAATATACTAAATTTTCATATTCACTTTGAATAAAAATCAGGATTCAGTTCATACAGACAGGAACGTGACTTCTCACAATCACATCTCGAACGCGACTCACACAATTTTTATTTTCTTTATTAATCAGCACTCCCCGACGGAGCAATTTTGTGAGTTAAGAGCTCTCTGTATCCCGAAGTCGAGAGTCAGGGTGACAGAGAAAAATTGAAAGGGATACGCGTGGTGCTGGAGTGACAAGGAGAAAACAAATGAATGTGCGGCATCTGACGTAAATGATATTGAGGAAGGCGGCCATGATTGCAGTCATTACTTACGCACAAACGCTTATGCAAATAGGTAATAAAAAGTTTGGTCGTGAAATTGGAGAATTTGTAGAGTATTCAGTGGCTTATAATAAATTTTACCTAACGTGAACATGATTTACACGATATATTTTGCTGTGCGATGGCGTAATGGCAAATTTAGTTCACAATATAAATAGTTAAATAGTTTTCCTTTCTACTTTCATTTATGCAGAAAAATAATTTAAATGCAAATTAACGTCATAGTCAACATTTCACCAGCTTTAAATCCTCTGGCCGAGATCCTCCACCCACTTAAATTCCCACAGAAAACCTTTTAAACCTGTATCTATCAAATGCAAAATAGCAAAAAGCGTCGTATAAACTGGGCAATGAACTCAGACTTAAAGCTAGATAGACGTTTTAGTTCTAGAAAATACAATGCAGCAAAAATTAATAGACTCAGATAAAAGGCTGTCTGAACGTATTTAACATTTTATCCTAAAGATATAAGATAATTCGATACCAAAGAGTATTAAGATAATGGAACGCCAACTCTCGTCTTTGCTTTTTGTTATAAAAAACGTTGCCCCACATTAGGATTTTCTCCTGGGTCGTGCGTGCGTTTACAAACATACAAATTCACATACACAATGACACCCAAATCCGAAACAACCATTTTTGGATCACACAAAGTGTTGTTCCGTTCGGAAATCGAACCTGCGGCACGTCGCACGGCAGCCGGTTGCCTAGCCACCGCACCAACCGTGCAGTCAATAAGTGTAGGTGAAACCACACAATTACATTAAATATTGTAAGTTAATATTGTAAATTAAAAACTCATATAAATAATGAAGTGGTATTTATTTCAGTAAATAGGCTACAAAGGCAAATTTCGGATATAAATAGAGTAGTCAGTTATGAATACTCTGAAAAGAAATTTTAAAACAAACTCAGTCCAGACAAATTATGTAATGTGCGAGGACCGTACAAGTTGATTCTTTAGTGGTCTTTTGTGGAAAAATGCACTACACCACCGCCCAAGTCACCTAAGTCATACACGTGGAATGCAATAAAGAATTGAGTACTGAGTACAGTTTGAGCAAAGCAAAACACGTACTTAAGTTTAAACGTCAATAAATTATATATTTTTTTCTGTAGAACACTCCATTTACTTATTCATTCGTGATTAGAATACAGCTGTCTACCATAATTTGGTTTACAATTTTCCTCTCAAATATCTCGAGTATTATTGAAAATTTGATTTGATGAGACATTGAATTTGCATAGCAATTATACCTCTTTGTACTTATACTTCAAGCCAAAAAAGCTACGAATTTAAGAGAACGATTTAATTTTTTTTATTATAGCTTTTAACTTCCAAGATTGTCAGTTGAAATGAACATTAAATAAATGTACATCTTGGCAACATTTCTTTTCAAAATAAATGTAAATACAATTACAATCTGATTGTAAGTAATGAAGACAACTTTCATCTGGAGTATTAAGACATTTGTATGAAATCAAAAATTATTAACGATAATAAACTGGAAAAAGTATTTTGTATGCTAGATTTTGTTATGATTTAATGTGAATTATGAAATCAAACTATTCTCAGGCTTAATTAACCGAACAACATGATTGAAGATTATGTTATATCCTATTAACGTGGGCTTCCGTAGGCAAAATTAATTATAGGAACATGTTACTTGGCCTGACAGGCTTATACCCTAAAATAATAACCACACTAACCAGGACGTGTGTTGACTGTAACAGAGGTTTAATTAATAGTTAGAAACTATTTTGAAGGATCCTAAGTTTATTGAGACATCACTACTGACATGCGGCTAAGGAAAACATCGTCATGATATCAAAATCGTAGGTCCTGGATTTAATATACAAGGTGTAGTTTTGAAGCCGTGTCATTTCTCGGGGGCATGTCACAGAAGTCATAAAGGTTCAATGTAAGAGAAAGTTTCGGGCCAATAGTTAAAAATACGGCTATACCTCTAATACATCGTTTAAGTTCGACAGTATTTCAGAATAAGCGACAGCAATGTTTCTTGTTGTAGTTTGTTGGAATTAGGAATAATATCAATTACGTGTTTGAGTTTGTGTGCGTTAAGCCGCGTTATAAAGCTAGTTACAAAACGGCGGTGGGTCGTTCGCACTTACGGATTTCCGTAATTTACAGAAAAATGAAAAATATTTACCTACAATTTTTTTTATTGATTCAGACTCAAAATCGATAGCCGAGTTATCTCCTAGAAAATGACGCGGCTTTAAAACAACACCTTGTATTATATAAAATTTAAATCGCTAGCCCTAGAAAATTAGAGTCTAATATTGTAAACAGACATAAAACAAATTTGTTCTTACTTATTACTAACGACATCTTCCCTCGTCAAAAGTCACGAACATCAGGTAATAATTATAAAAAAAAACGTCTAGAAAATTATGAAACATAGAGCGGCGACGAAGGGTGCATGAATTATCCATTACAACGACGACTGAAAGTACCTTTGGAGCTATAA